TCCTCTTTTCCTCTCTTTCCATATTTCCACCCCTACGAGAAACGAGAGTTGTAATCGCAGTTTCTATGTTGCCTATCACTCCGCAACTTCTTCCAGAAGGTTCATAAGTGCTCGATCTGTGATAGTAATATGAAACTTACACTAAACCAATGTCCTCAGGCTCTCTCTCTTTCTCTCTCCCCCTCCCCTCCCCCACCTCTCTCGTTTCTCCATCTCTTCCCTCTCCTTTCACTTCTGTCTGTTGTTCCGATGAGCTTTCACGATGACGATATTTTGTCATGACGATAATACTCGTATATTACACTAGTATTACGACTTATCGCTTATTCGAGATTAACAAGAGAAATGATAGTAAAGATGAATAATTTACAATGTTATCGATGAAAAAGAAAATAAAATGGTCTATATGTAAATAGAAATAAAAGTAAAATTTATCATTTTAATTTGTAATCATATCTAGATATATACGTATTTATTTTCTTTTTTTTTCTTCCATGAAAATTATACTATCATATTAAAATTAAACATAATATAAAATTGTAGAATTTTTATTAATATTACCTGGAGATATATTCATATTTTACGATATTAAAGTCTCTGCTTTAGCGATATAAAAAGTATTAGCGTATAAAGTTGAACATTTATTTTTACACATTAACTATCTGTTGTTTGAATAACGCAATATTTTTTCTCTCGATGAAAGAGTTTGATCGTTCTACTTTTTTTCCAAAACAAATTACGTTAATGTAAATATCTATATTTGCAAAGATGAAAAATATCTCGATCACTGTGATCTACTTAGGTATGTCTCTTGAGAATCATGTTTTCCAAGTTTAGTTTTACTTAGAAAACAAGATTCGCTTTTCTCTATAAAATTATTTCATCGATTGATATTGAAATAACGAATTATCTTCAAATCAATAATATAATTTCAATTAATTGATATATCAAAGAATATTTCAATGGTATTACAAGAGATATTTTATTAGACTTTTTCTCGAATTTTCAAATGATTTTTAAGAAGCTAATAAACGTTAATTGGCCGCATCGGCCATCTTTCTGTTATATTATCTTGAGCTTCTCAGTTAACAAGGGACAAGTATAATATACCATAATGCATATAGTACTAAAGATCCATTACCATCGACGCTAATGAGTTTGTTTTATCGGTGAAATTTTATATATAACAATAGCTTTTTGTTAATCTTTAACAAAAAAAAAAAAAAAAAAAAAGAAATTCTTAAGAATTTAAAAGTTATTAATTTTTCATGATTTTTCAAACTGGATCAGTGCAAAGGAATCATCTTTTTTTTTTTCACGAAGAATGAATATACCCTGCGATAGAATATAAACTGTAAAATTTTACGATGGCCATTCTGGCAATAGATAGAATCGACACCGAAAAACGTGTAACAAGAGCAAGCTCCACGTTCTTGAAGATGCGGTCAATGACATGAGTCAGCCCTTTCGGCGATATCGTCGTTGCCGTTTCCTTTGTTTCTATCTTCATTGTGGTCCAATAGCAGCGTCGTTCTTCCCTCTTTACCCGTTTGTCGACAAAGAGACGGGGTATCAGCTCGTGCTGATGGAGCGCACCGGTAAGAAATCTGATTGTAAAGGACGGCCGATCCAACGCTTCCATTTTCCTTTTTCTTTCTCTCTCTCTCTCTCTCTCTCTCTCTCTCTCTCTCTCTCTTTCTCTCTTCTCTTGTAGTATCGTTCGAATCCCGCAAAATTCTATTTCTCTCTTTTATTATTTCTCCATTCCTTCGTACCCTTTCCCTTTTTTCTATCTCTCCCACTCTTTCTATCTTCCTTTCTTTTTTCGTTCATTCGTTTCTCGCCTTATACTATTCCTTAAACCCCTTCCAACCTCTTCGTTCTCTCGCTCGTCTAACCTCTCAAAGAAATATCACGACTATTTCAATTCTCGCTGATATTGCGCCTCAGGCCGACCAGGCCATCCTTTATTTTATACCAACCGACGTACACCCAGCTAACATTTCTTACCTCCGTTCTCCCTTTTCCTTAGACCGCTCGATCCTCTTCTACTTATACCCTTTAGGATGCTTCTCTAAGCCGTGCTTGCATTTTTCTACGTTCGCTCGTCGTTCTCTTACGTTTCGATCGATCTTCTCTCTTCTCGCATCAAAGATTCTTGACCACTAAAAAATTGTCTTCGGAACGAGACCAGAATTGTTCTATTTTGATATATTACATATAAATATATGAATACGAATAATCCGAAAAAAACAATCGGTGAATAACTATGTTTATCCTTTATCACTTTCATTTGTCTCTTCATAATCATTATTATTATTATTATTATACTTTAATAAACAGATAAAAATATGTAAACAGGATTAAAAAAAAAATCCCAATGGGATAATCGTAATATAATATGTATGTAATATCAGTCAACATATATATGTATGTACATATATATATATAAAAAAAAGGAAAAAAATTTACCCGAACATATCAAAATTCTTACTTCGAAATAGATTCAAGAAAGGGAAGGAGACCGAGCGAACCCTAAGGTTTTTGTAGAACACGTTAACCTTATATAATCCGGAATTGGCAGGAGGTATTTCCTAATATCGAACGCGCCATTCTCTATCCTTCTCTTCGTCCCCTTCGTCCCTCGAAAAAGAATGTCTTGGTGACGTCGCAAAAAAAGACAGCGAGAGAGAGAGAAGTTCTTTCTTTCTTCTGAAATCTCCCCAAAACAAAGGACATACAATCCTCGTTGCGAACGACACCTTCGCGTATATATAGATTATAAATGTGTGTGTGTGTGTGTGTGTATATATATATATATATGTATATATACATCCATGTAGAATGCAAAAGAAAGGGAGAAAAAAATTCTCCATTTCTCGTCAAATTCAGCGTTGCACGACGAAAATTACGTCGTTCTTGCTTTCGCGCCCGAGATTTTTCTCAAAACGAGGCCAACGAAGCTTGGTTGCGGATGCACGCATGACTATTCGAGCTCTCAGAACATCGCGTTACAGGGATTTTGTTTTTCGAATAGACTTCTATCCAAGGGATCTTTCTTGGACGGATAAATTCATACTGAAAGCATTTAAAAACGTGAAATGGCGAAACGAAGTATATAAAATATTTCTAAATATTTTTACGTCCGTCATCATCGTCAAAATTAATGAAGAAATAAATATCTTATGTAAAAATAATCTACTCTTCTAAACTTTCAAAGTAATTTAAATACTTTGATTTTCCCAATATATTTCAATTTTGGCGCGAGAACTGATCTTTAATATCTATTAATTAAAATATTTTTGTTAAGTAAACATTCGATGATTCCTATCATATCTTGATCAAATATTACTCGAGATATATGTATATTTTTTTTTCGAATGCAAAAAAAAGAAAACTAAACTGCAGATTAAAAAATAAACGAATCTTTTCTCGACTCCACGATTGGAAATTTTTACATATAATATCTCTTTTTCTATTTATTTATCCATCCATCGCTTTATCTTCTGTTTATAAGCGAATGGCATGTTAGAGTTTTTTGGAAAAGCGTAGACGAGATTCCGTCACAATATTGCATCGCTGGGAATTATTTCGTCGTGAGAGTTCACCCGAAATGTTTTCGGTATTTTCGTGTAAAATTAATGGAATCCAAGCACTCGACGAACATTCGTGTTCGTGAAACTGAAGAGTGGAAGTTGCATCTTTGTGAAGCGCATCATTTAACGAAAGAAAAGAAAGTCATTACAAAAACATTTCATTCATAATCTTATAAATTTTACTACGAATAATAATTCGATAATATCCTTTCTCTTCTTTTCTCTTTTTCTTCTTTGTTTTTTCTTTACGTTACCCACAAATTCACATAAAAAAGAAAAAGAAAATAGTCTCAATTTTTTCACTACTCGTCATATCGACTCGAAACAACAGTCGATAACTTTTTCAATTAAATTCGAAAAACACCATAATCACTAAACGCCAAAAGGAACAACATAGAGAACAAAACATATTTTCATATTCAATGAAAACACAGATATACTTTTGTTATAACGTCATTCGATCCCTTTCCCCTTATTACAAATTCTCTCGCCCAGCCCTTCTTCGCCTAATTGTAAGAACTATTCTCCATATCAAGATAGCTCAGCGGTAGGAGAGAGAGCGTGCGCGGGCCGATCGTAGGATGGTGCGCGGTCTTCGAAAGAGATTCCATCCGTCAGTCTATCCGTCCATCTATCCATCCATCCATCCATCCATCCATCCATCCATCCATCCATCCATCCATCCATCCATCCATTCGTCCGTTTGTCCATCTATCTATCTATCCATCCATCCCTTTGGTAGTCAGTCGGCCACCTCAACGAAGCAGGCACACTCACAGTGATCACGAGTAGAGCCACGAGAGGGCTTTTCGAAAAGGCACGTCGCTGCCGTAGGAGTGGCTAGACATGTACTAGAGTGGGGTTTGTAATATATATATATATATACACACACATATACATATATAGATAGAGAGATAGAGAGAGAGAGAGAGAGATATGTCTAGAGAAGGTCATGGAAAGAGAAGCGAATAGCACGAATAGAAAGAGACAGAGAGAAGGGATGATAGAGAGAAACCGACCGAGAGAGCGAAGTTGGCGAGAGGAGGGAGTTGTAGGAGTACTGGAGGGGAGAGTCGCGTGCGACGAGAGGGGAGGGTGAGAGGAGTAGTGGGATGGAAGCCGCGAGAGCGTGAGAGGGTTGCGATTGTGCTACAGTCGCACCGCGACACCCCCAACGAGTGAAACCGCGCGCGCCCGGTGATCTCTCTTTCTCTACTCTTCTCTCTCTAGCTCTCTCGTTCTCTATCTCTCTCTCCCTCTCTCTCTCTCTCTCTCTCTCTCTCTCTCTCTCTCTGTCTCTATCTCTGTCTATCTATCTTATTCACTCACTCACTCACTCACTCTGTACCACTCTACCTCGTTCACTTTCTATGTTATATTACTGGTGGCCACGTATACACGAAGGATTCGCTTCGCGAACAGTGCTATGCTTTTAAGGCTGCGATCAAGGCACTCGTCGCTGCCACCAACGTTGTCATCGTCATCGTCAAAAGCTTTATTCTTCATCTTTTCTTCTACGTCTTCTTCTTCGTCTTCCGTTTCTTCAACGTCAACGAATTCGGCCGCCACGCTGCAGCCGACCTTGTCCTTGCTCTTGTTCCTTGACCATCGCAACCATTGCTACTTTCTCCAACAGGATTTTCATCAGTGGTCATTGTACACGGAGGATATCCTCGGACCCTCTAGGAAAGATCACTCGAGGTTTTTCTAATTCGGGTAAGTGAAGTGGTCCTTGTGTCTCTTTCATCTTCTTTTTTTTCTCTTTTCTTTTTTCCCACTTTTTGACTTTTCTTCTTTTCCTTTTTCATTTTCATTTTCTTTCTTTCTTTCTTTTTTTTTTTTCATTCTTCCCCTTACACCGCTCGCTCCTCACAATTACTTGCTCTTATTCGCTTCCTCTTATTTTTCACGTCACATCTCGATTAGATTCTAGAATTGGTGAAAAAGGGTGGGTAGAGGAGAGGCACTTCTAAAGACGTTTTCTTACTGGACGCGAACGAAATGGAATCGGACGGCGGAAACCTGTTGATGACGATTCTTTCTCACCTCCGGTAAAATTTGCCGACGACAAGTACCGTTCCGGTTGAGCATCGTCGTTGGCAAATTGAGATATTAAATGGATGGAAGATAATATTTATTTTCTCGACTCGAGTTATATAATATTTGCTATCAGGAGGAAACTTTCAAAGGCTCTATCTTGGAACGAGAAAGCGATATGCGTATCATTCTCATTAAATGCGACAAGTAGACCCTTAGAGATATTCACATCATAATTATTCACGATCTTTATGGAAATATTAAGTGATCAAGTGAATCGGTGCGAAAGAAGATATTTCCTGCGAACGTGTTAATCGATTAAAAAAAAAAAAAAAGAAAAGAAAAAAGAGTAAAGGATCAAACGATAAGAGTGAAAAGTGTGAGTGACTGAAAAGAGAAGTATTTGATAAAAAAATTTTTGGTACGAATGAGTACATCGAAGAAAAAAGAAAAGAAAAAGAGAACATCCTCGACAATGTGTGAAACACGCGAAAAGCGTATTCTTGAGAGTCTCTTATACGGTGTATAACGTGCTACGACCCGATGTCTTGTTTCTTCCCATCTCTCCCACCTCCACGTATCGTTCTCTCGATCGTTTCCTTTTTCTCCATTGTTCCCTCATACCAACATTCTCATTCTTGCATTTTCCTGTGTATTTGTTTTGCTCGTTTGGTGCACCTGTGGCCGATGTCGAAATTGACGCGTCGTCGTTCGCGAACTCTTCTTTGGAATGCTGCCAATGACTGCTTACTGATTCGAAGACCTGTTGATGATCCTGATGAGCCGGATTAAACGTTTGAGAGATCGTATCGTATAGTATCGTGAATCGAAGAAGAAAAGAAAAAGAAAAAAGAATTACATACTCGATAAAAGAATATTGGAATTTTTTTTTCTATGTGATCTATGTGATCTATGTGATCCGGGGAAAAAAAGAAATAATATTATACGTTATCGATAATTAGATATATAGTATCATCAATTGTCATTTTATGCTGTGTGCAATTAATTGATCGATTTTTTAAACTATATAGTATATCCGCTATATATTCTAGAATCTTGAAAGATCTACTAAAATCCAATAGAAACGTATACAAATGTTCGTAGCAACGTTAATCTCGTATATTCGCCATCTTTACCTTACCTCGAGTTTCTAGATAAATTTATTCGATTTACCGTGCTGCTACGGAGAATTAGTTACAATCGTCAGTAACGAAGGATTCGTTTCTCTGTTAGAACAGCAGAAATATCAATCTACGAACTCAATTGTCTCTCTCTTTCTCTCTCTCTCTCTCTCTCTCTCCCTTTCTCTCATTCCCCTTCTATCTCTTTTTTCTTTAATTCATTCTTGTTTAATAAATAAAAGAAGATTCTTTGAAGACGTTCTAAGAAAACAAAAGATTTAACTATATCGTAACAAGACAAGAAGTAAGGAGAATAAAGAATTGTATAATCTATCAGAAAAAAAAAAGTCCTATCTTTTATTTCTTCGTTCATTGAAAGGTGAAGAAAAAAAAGGGAAGGTTGAGTCAAGGTAGAAAAAAGAAAAGAAACGAAACAATTTCTTCAAGGCCTTTATATTTTTCGATGGTAAAATTGCTACGGTATCGATATCGTGACATTGATACTAATATTTCGTACAGTCTATCGATGTCGTATTTTTTAAAAGGTGAAAAATCGTGTTATAAAAATGTTTAGAAAAAGTGATAGGAGTGAGGAAGATATATATATATATATATATGTATAGAGAGAGAGAGAGAGAGAGAGAGAAAGAGAAAGAGAGCTTGTTGGGGAAGTTGTCTTATCAGCTTGTTTTCGTTTCATTTCCTTTTTTCTCCCCTTCTCTTTTCTCCCGTGTTCTCTCTTTTCTTCGTCACAAAGCGCTAATCTTCGTGAACACGATCATTTTTATCTTTTTTCCTTAGCACCTTACCTCTTATGTTTACATGCGGTCTTTCTTTTTCTTTTTTTTTTCTTTTTTTTTTTTCCTTTTTACAAGGTTCGAGGCGGAACCATTGGGCTTTATCTCAAGGGCGTTATTTAACCTGGAATTTTGCCAATGGCGAATGGTGCTGATGTATCAGATACCTGTTGTTGACCCAGCATCTTCAAGGCGAGACAAATTTTGGGACGACATGATTAGAGAATTGAAAGGAGTCATTGTCGGAAATTGCGTTTCATCAATTCTCGGATTATCGGACGTGCCTGCGTCGTTATCTTTGATATTTCTTTTCGCAATTTTATCTTAAAGCTTCGATAATTGTTTAATCGTTTAAATAATAATTTATTCAAAGGGAATGATCGTTAAATTTGTATTAACTTTATCTACAAATGTTATTACCCGTATATACTAAAGGGATATATTTAAAATGATCCTCTTTTTTTCCTTTGTTTGTGAACTTTCATCGTGAGATCGAATGAAATATCTTACTTTACGTATCTTACTTTTAGTTTTGCAAAACACAAAAAACGTGTAAAAGCGGCGATCGACGAAATTCTTTAAGATTAAACGTTAAGGATTGAAAGATTCAATTTTTTTGTCGGTAAAAGGTTACTGAAAGATTCAAGAGAAAAAAGCAGGTATTTCGTATCCTAGATAAAACTTTCGTGGCACTAACTTTGACAATAGCCTTGCATTTCATTCTTTGCATGGAGTTCAAAGATAGTAGTACACCTGGAATTTTCCTCTGTCAGCATCAAAGCTTTTTGCGAATGCATGGAAAAAAAAAGAAGAAAGAAAATAAAAATCAAAAGAAAAAAAAAAAGAAAAAAAAGAAAAAAAAATTGGAAAAAGAACAGAAAGAAGAGTAAAATTATATGAAGAAAACATTCCCGTCAATTTTGAAAGCGCACCATGAACGTTTAATGGTTAGATAACTTTTCATGATGTCACTTATGAAAGCTCGAGAAGAGAAAAGATACATTTAAATACCGCGCTATATCCATAGATATATCCATACTCTCTTTCTATGAATTAGATCTATCGTGCGAGTCGGATGAATTAACCGATTCGAAAATTTATTTATCGCGGAATTAGAGTTAATAGGAAATGGATCGTTTTATGAAAGATAATATCCATTCCCTTGATGGGTTTCTATCGCCTACCGAGTTAAATTAATCGTCGTAAAAAAAGCGCTAACCTTGGCAGGCATATCGTAAAGTTCTATTGGATCGGGCCGAGCAAACTCTTTGCCGTATAACTCGACGTTTACTTTACGGATTTTCCACTTGAAACGGCGAACGTCGAAGTGGTGTTACGCTGAGGTGTCTCCGTGTGAACATCAAGAGTGAGTGAGAGAGAAAGAGAAAGGAAGAGAGCATCTTAGATCTCCCTAAGGACAAAGAGAAAGATAGAGAGATAGAGAGGGAGAAAAGGAGTGTGAGAGAGAGAGAGAGAGAGAGAGAGACAGAGAAGATAGAAGTGATCCTAAGGGTCCACTCGACTGATGAGAGTATCACGTAGTTAAACATTGAACGCTCACATATCTTCCACGGTCTACGGACACTCTGATAGACGCGTCCTGATGAAACTTTCATCGTTGACTTTGTCCTACTCTCTTCCTCTCTCAACCAACCTCCATCACCACCTCGATAATTGCCAAGATTTAACCTTTCTTCCGGCGGTCAATGAAGGCTTTTTCGATTATCCGATCGACGTGCGCCGGAAACTGGTGATCGCTTTCGGTCTGGCCATCCTTCATCTTTTCTTCTCCTTTCTTCGTGCATACTTTTTCTTTTCTCTCTCTCTCTCTCTTCATTTTCAAACTTCTCCCTCTCCTTTCTTACACTTTCTCTCTCTCTCTCTTTCTCTCTCTCTCTCTCACTCTTTATGTTTTTTCTAACGTGCACTGGCTTCATCATTCTCCAGCCTCGCTAAATCTCCCATTCCTACGTCGTTCCGACACGCTTTTCGATTTTGTTAAGAAGAGGAGATATTCCTTAATCGAATTCTCACGCCGAGGCGTGCGTGGCTATAATGGATTACGTGGAATGGAATTCGACTTTCTTTTTGCTTTTTCCAGCACGTGGATAACATATACTGTGCTCTATTCAATATTGCCCGGTGGCTTGGAAAGTGGATCGACAATAGAATTGAAAGAGTTAGGTATATACTTGTTCATATCTCTCTCTCTCTCTCTCTCTTTTTCTTTCTCGCTCTCATTTGTTCATTTTATTTTCATTTATCCGTAATGACAATCTTATTTATAAAAATGATTATAATTTTCGTTAACATGCTCTATAAACTCTTGAACAGTGAACATTAATTAGCAAATTGTATCATTTGTATGTAACAATGTCGTCCTTTCAATACTTGAAACGTTAATGTTACAAACAACGTCATACTTTTTTAATATAATTTATTTCTTTTCGTGATTAGTACGAAATTAGCTATGATAATAGTATAGAATGAGGTATCAAAGAAAAGGAAATATCAAAAGTCATGGAAGAAACATCGGCTTATTTAAAAGAACTGCATCGAATTTTTATGCCCTCCTAGGGTGATATAAGAGATGGATAAGAGTAAAAGAAAAGGGAGAAAGAGAAAGTTAATAAAAATTCTACTTCCCTATCTTCTCGCCTAATGCCCCGACAAATCGCTCGTAAATTTCTTTCAATGTACACGCTTACATAATCCTCAGTTATCGAGCGGAATAAGAAGAGCGCGAGTAACGCGAAGCCGA